AAATTAAAACTCTTTCTGTTTGTAATATGACAGAATAGATCAGCAGTTGGCAAACTATGACATTGGATCAAATCTGGCCAGCAACCTGTTTTTGTAAATAAAGTTTTATTGGAACATAGCGTAATAGTTAAGTACTTAAAAAACATTTTTAAATAAAAGAAGAAAGGGGAAAATTAATTTTCATATGCATTACTGTTCTTATAATCTTGTCATTTCATTTTTAAACGATTGTCCATTACATGTGAATAAGCCTCATCCTTTAAGAGCACATATGGACTAAGTTAGCTGGCATTTTCCTTATCAAAAAATAAACAAGTCTGAACGTGGGTGTTCTGTCAATCAGAACACTTAGCCATGTTACAGGCTGCAACTGATGTACAAATCCATTACCCAGGCATAAAATGCTTTACCAAAACACAAATTAAATAGCTTTATAGCTCTTAGCCGGATATATTGCCAAAATATGCAAGAGATGAAATATGTATGTGACTTCTTTAAGAGAATAAATTGAAACCAGAAGCCAACTACTTCTCAGCAGTGCAAATTATACTCCAACTCTTCGTATTTTCATGTCTTGTCTTGTTTGTCTAATTTAGATGGTAAACTTAGTGGTAGAGGGAAAGAATCTGTCTCTTATATTCTATCAGTCAGTAGAGCACATTCCTATTAGTACTTCTATTGCAAATAAATATTTATTGCCAAGAATTCATTTTTTTTTTTATTAAAAAAGAGATAAACAGGGAATCCAAAAGGCTTGATTCCTGGCCTACTATGAAAATGTGGATAAGCCATTTCACCTTTTTTCTTATCTTCCTTTCTAATGAAATGAAAGTACCCACTTTCCTTTCCCAGGCCGTGGTGTGAGGTTTCATTATACAATACCTGTGAAACTAATTTAGCTCCTCAGAAGACTGGTGTTATATAAACAGCAAATACTATTACCATCATTGGGTTGAGTTGTGTAACATCCCAAAGTTTCAGCCAAAAGAATTGAGAGGAATATTTGGAGGTCGACTACACTTTATTTCATAAAAAATTTGTTCTTTCTTTTCATTACCAGGCATAACACTGTATGTTATAATGAAGCAATTCAGTTCTGTGCTTATGACAGAGAGAAATGCTTAATGAATCCTAGACGAGTCCATGCTGAGAAGGAGCTTTCCGTTCTTCCTCAACACTAACTTCCCTGGAAGTCAAAGGTATATTTCAAAGGAAAGAACCTCTTTGGAACTTTTGAAACCTATTTCATTATCCTAGTGATTTCTAAAGTTTTAGTTTTTCCCTAAATAATTCCAAGATCACATAAAATGTTCAAGTCACTGAGGGCTACTATAAATAATATCTTATTTTCATAAAACTTCAAGGAGAAATTTCACTAATGCCCCAGCCTGAATGCTCCTACCCCCACAGCAAGCTGCATTTCAACTGACTTAACTTATAACACATAGAAGAGCTAATGTTGCAAATTTATTCCAACTCATTAAATAATAAGGACCATTAAATTACCTTACATTTTTGTTCAAGGTCTCCAAAAAATTATAACAATATGAAAGAAACTGTTCTTTTATACAAAAAAGATGAACTATATTAGGTCCAGGCAAGGAGAATGCAGAGAGAAGTTTTAAAATTCTGGATGGAGTTGCAATCAACCGCTCATCTCCAGACTACACTCTGAAGTCAGGCTGGGACCCTGCCATTCCTGAGGCTCAAATGCAAACTCAACAGCAGGTAACACTATCTGCAGGAAAATAGTCATTTTCCTCGAATTACCTAATCTGGAATCTCAAGAATTGTGTTGTATTTATTCAGTTTCATAATTCCTTTCTAGATTGAGCAATTTAAAGAAGCAGAACAAAAACTCTCAACCCAATTAAAATTTTTAAAATTAGAGTGTAAAACATCAATTTCCTAAATACAACTTAATCTACTAAAATACATCATCTTCTACTCTCCATCACTCAGAAATTTCATCAGAGAACGCGCTGCATTTCATTTAATAGAAAAAGGGCAAAAAAATGTATCCTAGACCATCTTGACCAAAGGCAAAGTTTAAATTACATGTGGGGATTAAAAACCAGGATTCTTTGAGCACGCATTGTGATATCAAAATATAAATTCTTTCAAAACCCATACAGGCCGGATGTGGGCACAACAATCTACAACCAAGAAGTTAAGATATCCTGTTTTCAAGTGATGCTACTGCTTAAATGTGTATTCCTATTTTAATGATAATATGAATTTAGGAATTTTCCTTGAAAAATTCATTGATCATCAAAATTTATAGATTTCAGAAGTCAAAATATTATTAATTATTGTGCTCATCTTGGAAAAGAAATGTTTAAACTGTCAGAGTATTAGCAAAGAAAAGGCATGTTCTTGGCTAACTTCTTTTCATTTTTCCAGAGAGGGCAACTGCCTGGCACAAAACGACCCAGTTAGTCAATAATAGAACCACAGTGAAGATCGATTTGATGAAGTTCACCGATCCTATGCTATCACTCCATTAGTCCTCATGCCTTGCTGCGGTTGCCTGATTATACTAAGTAAAAGGTATCAGATTCATTTCACCTAAATGATTAAAAATAAATTAAAACTCTTTCTGTTTGTAATATGACAGAATAGATCAGCAGTTGGCAAACTATGACATTGGATCAAATCTGGCCAGCAACCTGTTTTTGTAAATAAAGTTTTATTGGAACATAGCTTTGCTGGTTCATTTACATTTCTGTGATTGCTTTTTTGCCATATAGCAGAGCTGAGCAGCTGTAACAAAGATCTTACGGTCCCAAAGCCTAAATTATTTAATATCTGTCCCTTTACAAAGTTTCTCATCACCGTAACAGAGTGTATTGCTAATACAGTTATTTAACAACTAAAAGATGCATTAAACAAGATGTTTATTAAAAACAATTGTTCAATGAGATGAATGCTGAAGGAAGAATGAATAAGTCTCGTATACAATTTTTTTTTTTTTTTGAAACAGAGTCTCACTGTGTTGCCTGGGCTAGAGTGAATGCAGTGGCGTCAGCCTAGCTCACAGCAACCTCGCACTCCTGGGCTCGAGCGATCCTTCTGCCTCAGCCTCCCGTGTAGCTGGGACTACAGGCATGCGCCACCATGCCCGGCTAATTTTTCCTATATATTTTTAGTTGTCCAATTAATTTCTTTCTATTTTTAGTAGAGACAGGGTCTCGCTCTTGCTCAGGCTGGTTTCGAACTCCTGAGCTCAAACAATCCGCCCGCCTCGGCCTCCCAGAGTGCTAGGATTACAGACGTGAGCCACCGCGCCCGGCCTATAATTACACAACTTTCTGAAGATGTAGGAGACACCAAGACTCTGTACCATATTTCACCGATTCATCTTGAGTATTACAGAGTCCGCAGAGCCTCTTGTAAAAGAAATAACTCCTACTCTCTAACATTTGTTATAGAATTGATTCCTAATAAATTACATTTCTGATTTTCTTACTAAAACAGATATTTGTTAAAATAAAGCAGGTTTTTAACTGCTGTTCATGGAGAACAATAAACTACGATGACATTATAACTGTTGCGCCTTACAGTAGAAGTGAGGTTTACTCTCCAAGGACGATATTCTGATCTGTGTAATTTGGCTAGGACACTACGGTCACTTTCAAATACACTGTGGTATTTAACATGCACTATCAATTAGAATCTACTCCCCGAGCTCATAATTGACGATAGACAAGAACATATTGGACAACATAACAAGACAGGCTTTGCAATAAATGGCCAACTTCAAGCTACAGTATCTAGATTTCCAATTTAATAAGCAAAGGGGAGGCGAATGGCACCATGGATCAAATTCTCTACAGGTAATAATGTAACACATTAACTGCCTACAGATAGGAAATAAATCTCAATTACTAAAAAAGGCTCTCATCACTCAGTTGTCTTGGTGTCACTCCTGCTTTTTAAAACAATTGCCATGCCTTAGAATTAAAAAGAGCTGTTTCTAAAAAATAGATGCTCTATTTTGGGATCATTACACACAATTATGTGGCTTGTATATTTTTTAAGACAATTTAAAATAAGATTGGCTTATTCTTTAAAAAAAAAAATGAAAGAAAAGGGAAATTTGTTCTTTCAGAATTGTTCTTCCCAGGGGGAAAAAATCCGATCTCTTGTGTCTTCTTAATGTTAAAATAATGTAGCTCTGTCATCTAGTGGCAACCGCTGGTAACACAACTCTGGAACACAGCTTTGATTATTATTATAAAATTCTAAATTGATTTTGCCTAATTAGCTCCAAAAAATTCCTTTTTACTAAAAACATAAAATATAAGTTTACAAATATAATTATGAAGTAAATTACATATAATGAATAGAGTCAACATTAAAAGCAAAGAATCGTCATCCAATTGAAATAAATTTACTGCTACACTAGAAACTAATGAGGTATTATATTTGTTTAAAATACATTGGGTTAGATCCATATAAATTTGTAGACTACATTACTCATGCTATTTTTACAACTTCGCAAATATCTAAATTTGTAAATTAAATTTGAAAGAATTTCTAAACAATAGTTTCCAAAGAAAAACATCATTTCAAAAACTTCCTGTGATATTTAAAATGTATGTGACTAACTCTTCCTTTCTGCACTTTTCTGTCCCACCTCCCACTACCAAACATTTTACTTAATTATTCCTGCATCTTCCCTTCTGCTTTCATACAAGAATTTCCATAAATACTTAGAATACACAAATTTTATCATTAAAAATTTTATATTGTCTTTCTGGGAACGATTATTATTGGAACTTCCTGACTAGAGTCATCTGACAACTATTTTTCAGTATAGTGTCTGCACTAAACCTTAAGAAGTTAAACATTTTGTCAGTTTTCTTTTTGTTTTCTTCCAGTACTATGATTTACATGGTGCTTTCGTCATAAGGTACATGAACAATTAAATGTATACTTATAATGTAGAAGTATATCACAAGGCATTATAAAATTATACTAAATATGTGTGTCTAATCTATATATGTAGTATAAAAACATCAGGTACAAGGAAATATTGTTTCATTAATTTTTAAGGTGTAGAAATGTGTATTTACGAACAATAATATCTATATTACCTTCTGTTTCAATAAATTATTTCAAGAGTAATTTCCTCTCCTATTACCTATTAGTATGTTTTTTTCTTTTTTAATTTTCCTTCCTCTGACCATGTCTAAAATTTCATAGGCCTCATGAAAAGTAAGATTAAATGGAGAGTAAAAGGATTAGAAGATCTGGGTAAAAAAGAAACAAATACTAAAGTCTTGAAGCCCATTTATTTATTCCTAAACCTATATATATTCCTAAACTCTAATCTCATTTGTATATTCCTAAACCCATATACACAAACATATTTTTATATACATTCACATGTATCATAAACAGTAAGATGTCTTGAGAACTGACCTTTAAATATTTTGTGTCTTAAATAACTATGGTACAGTCTTGAATTGCAAAAATTGTAAAAATTGTTTTTGCTGATAACAAGGAGTATGAAAAGTTTTGGAGTCAGTAGCAAAGTGGTGGATACTATGTTATTGCATCTCATAATTATAAATAATAAATGTATCATAATGATTTCCATCCATAGTGTTCTTTGAATGTAGGTATATATATTACTATATGTATATTATAGTCAAGTCTTATTCAACTATTAAGGTGAAATTCAAAATCTAGTATAGACTATTGATTTCATCAGATTTTTAAAATTACTGAAATTCACTTCAAGGCTAAGTCATCAAGATTTAACTACAAAGTCATTATTATATCCCATTCTGATCTTAGGTTAATCTATTTTATTTCCTAAAACCAGTATTTAATTGCAAGTGGAGGCTCTGATAGAAGAAAACTTTGACAGGCTTAGAATGAGAGCCTGGCTGATCTGCTGCTATGGAAGAAAAACTTATGTTTTTTAAAGAAATTTACATATATATGTATAATCTCCTTGCGATCACTTCAGATAGAAAACTGCTTTCTCCAAGTACTGGTTATCAATAAAACAGATTATCTTCATAGGGAGGGGGAATATTGAATGGGATGCAGCACCACAAGAACCACAGAATATGATAATATTGCAGAGGGTTTTGCTTTTGATATGAGAAGGTCTGTAACTTTTTTAAAAAACTGTATTTCACTTTAAGTGGAGAAAAACAAAAGAGAAAAAATGTATTTTGAAGTGTAAGGTAATACCTAAAATGAATCAATATGTTTGCAGCAAGCATTACAACACAAGGAGTTATCGTTAAATTTTATCGCAGCATACTTACTAAAAGTTCCAGGCACTAACTACATACTTAATGGCAGAAAATAGCCAGATCAATTTATAATCAAGATGTGTGATAGAGAACCCCACTGATTTACCGCTAGGTCACCCTCCTCTGTGTAAATGCTTACATTTTCCAAGCCCAGGAGCACAAGAAGTGGAATTGTTGTCATTCCTCCTTGAATCCATTCCTCCAGAGACACGGTTCCATCATGATCATAGTCAATTTCCTCCATCATTTCATGGAGGATCTGAAGTAGAGAAGATGAGAAAAAATTTGCAATGAATCAATAAAATAAATTTCATTTGATACAACAAATCATTACATTGATTTGGTTAGAACAAATTGTGACTAACGGCTAAATTGGGATAAATGTCTTGGTAATTCAGTACAACATTAATCCTATTACTGAGGAAACGGTGACTTTGTTATAATTACTAAAACCTGGCTACTTACACTGACCATCTTTTAGAAATAAGTGCTTAACTTTTTAATATTTTTTCAATGAACAGCACAGCTAAAACAAGAAGGCGTCTTTAATGGAAGGGTAAAAGTGGTCTTTAATTACTTTCTCTAGATTATTTTTTAGGTTCATATATATGCCAAAAAATGTCTGAACAAATTAACTTCATGGCAAAGAGCTCAAATAATTATTTGCTAAGTAGTAAGGGGCAAGAGAATTAAGTTGCTTTTAATTGCCTATCAGAACTTAATAGAGCTAAGAAGTTAAAGGATCAAATCATATTTGATTAGACTTCATTTCTAAAGATGACTTGCACATAATGTTTCAAAATGCTCTCCATACTATTGTTTGTAATACACGTAGCTCTCTGTGATATGGTGACAATATCAGTACTTACTTCAAAGGGTCACGCTGTTAGGAAAAATGAGTTAATGTATTATAAATAGAAGTTCCGTGTAGAGTTGTTTGTGTTATTATTAACAGAAATTATTGATCAGATCCAAATATAATAAGCTTGGCTGCTGAGAAGTCAAAGTACTTCTCATCTAATGGCACCAAGATGGCAAACATGGTAAGAATTCCAGTGAAGAAAGGAACTCACCACGTTTATATAATGTGGAAATTTTAATTGATTTGGAAAAAGAGACACAGAGAATATTAGAACGAAAATGTGAAAAGGTGCAGAAAAGGAAATATTTAATTTGTTGGTAGAAGTATGATTCGCTTAAACACTTCTATGCTTGATTACATGGTGTCCTTCCTCAGGAAGTACCATATATGAAAATCAGATTATTTTCCTTCATAGCAACAAACTGATCTACAGATACTGGGAAGAAGAAACTTTTTGGAATAAAAATGATGCTGGAATAATTACTTCATCATTCTCAAAATAAAAGATAGGAGAAATTATTTAGAATCTGGCAACATGGCATATGATCTGGTTAAAATGCACTGCCTCTTGAGAGCATGTGATGAATTAGTAGAAATGAATAAATGGCTGATGCTCTCATTTTTGTATCTAATAAATGTAATGTTACAGCCTGTGTTAATTTGATAAAAACTTCTTCCAAGGACGTCTCAGTCTTGCTTACTAACTAGGGTCAACCTCAAATGCTCACTTTTCTTTATTCATATACAGAAACCTATCAGGAATCTACAATGTGTACATTTGTTTGCAATGAGGAGAGCTGTTGAAGCATCAGGCAAGACAAGGGAGTTCCCATGACAGCAGACACAATGCACAAGGCGGACTTTTATCTTCCCTTTCTACCATTTCAACTACTCAGAAGAGTGGCAGACTTGTTAGTAACACAAATGCCAAAAATGCTATAGTTTATTATAGTATGTTCTCCAGGAGAGAATTTGACAAATACAGTAGGTATTTATCTTAGCTAGCTGCTCTCAGCCACCAACTGTCCCCTTCCTCGGAGCTTTCTGACCTCTCTCTTCTCAAATCTACACCCCACACACACACCAAAAATAATTTTTGTGGAGAAGAGCCAGTGCCCATTTTTGTTTTGAAACCTGATAGGAAAAAATCACTCCCTCTGCCCCCAGTGAGAACAAGTAGACCTGATTGGTAGATGAATAATTTCCCCAGGTAGAAAGATGAATAGGATAAGGGAAAGCTATTTTAGACTAACGTAACCAAAAAGGACAACAGAACTAATAAGAAATTCCTTGGATTTCAGTGAAAATAGTACTAAGGTGAATCAAGCTGCAAATTAAATACATGTTACCATCTCCTTTATTATTCCATATACAACTGCAACCTGTTAATGATATCTACCACTCACTATGAGCAGAGCATGTGCAATTCCATATTAAGGAAAAACAGGTTGAATTAAAACTGGAAATATTCCAATCCCAATAAGAATGGTGCCCTCCTTTGTACATGACTTGTGCTTTGATGGCTTTAGTTTACAAAGACAGGGAAATGCTATCAGAGTTATTGTGTCACATAATCATGGCATTATCTTGCTGTTTACTGCACATATGTGAACAGTGGTTTAAAAAAAAATAGGCTTCTAGAATTCATATAAAATGCAAACTGCTTAAACAAAATTGATTTGTATTTGCTTTATTCATGTACACTTTACTAAACCTAGTAGGTTTCAAAATAAACTAAAATCGATAGGTCTTATCAACTATCCTTAAAATATTACTTGTGGGCCGGGCGCGGTGGCTCATGTCTGTAATCCTAGCTCTCTGGGAGGCTGAGGCGGGCGGATTGCTTGAGCTCAGGAGTTCGAAACCAGCCTGAGCAAGAGCGAGACCCCGTCTCTACTAAAAATAGAAAGAAATTAATGGGACAACTAAAAATATATAGAAAACAATTAGCTGAGCATGGTGGCGCATGCCTGCAGTCCCAGCTATTCGGGAGGCTGAGGCAGAAGGATTGCTTGAGCCCAGGAGTTTGAGGTTGCTGTGAGCTAGGCTGACGCCACAGCACTCTAGTCCGGGCAACAGAGAGTGAGTCTGAGACAAAAAAAAAAATATATATATATATGTATATTACTTGTGGACAAAGTTGAAGTTTCTAATCAGGTATGTTTTAATATACTTTTGAATAATGTTGGAATTTTGACATTAATCTATTTAAAACAATGAGTCTTTATGGTCCTATAAGCATTGTTAGATACCGTTTCTTTAAACAATTTGGTTAAAAATTTGTGGCTTGACCTTTAACTAGCTGAAGAGCTTTGGATAAGTAATTTTAACATATTTGGGTCTCAGTTTACTCATCTACAAAAGAAAAAAAACAGTGTACCTCAGAGAGTTGCAAGCATTGAATAACACATACACACAAGATAACAGAATGCATTGTGTATAGAGAACTATCATCATCTTCTTTTATGGCATGGCATGACCTTGGCAATGTCAATCAGCAGCTTCTGTTTATTCCCATGTATGTAAGACCACCTTTCAAGATATTAATAATTTCCAAGAAGGAGAAAGCAAAAGTTACTTCTAAGAGGTTCAGAATACCGCATATACCTTATTATCTTATTCAGAACCCAGTTTGATTTCTGATTAGAAATAGTGGCTTAGAGTTATCAAAAGCCAAAATCAAATGACAGTAATACATTAGGGTTCCAGAAAAGACAAAAAAAAAAGAGTCTTCCAGAATTTAGTCAATAGTTAAATCATTCATATACCTACTGGATTAAGTTCAGTGACATCCCATTCAAGGTACTCTGCAACATGCATCATCTGACTGATGATATTTTCTAGCTCCTGGGGGAAGGGGAGAGAGAATATTTGAGTACGTATGATTCGCTTAAACACTTCTATGCTTGATTA